GCAACTCAACAAAGTACATTCCAGGACAAAATGGAAGAAGAAGATGAAGGATAAGGTGGAAAATAGGTATGTGCAACTATCTCCAGTACAACTGACAAGGTCATGATGTATGGACAGACAATGAAGAAGTTGACCTGCAAAAAGAGAAAAAAGACAAATACTTTTTCTTAAAAACAAAAATTGACTTGACATGTTGGTGGTGCATAGGCCTCAATCACTGGCCTAATAACGAAATTAAAGAGTACTTTACAAAACCGATAAGCTACGATAAAAAACAGGAAATAGTACTGTCAAAGAAACCTTATCATACACAATGGGACAAAGTCACAAAATTAGAAGTTTGATTTTAGACTTATATTTATACCTTAACAGAAGCCTAGAAAATTCCACAATATACTAGATATTTTGATGCAATAATACTCAATTAAAACAACAAGAAACTTGTAAAGTTCTAGCAACATGATGCAATAATCTCACTATTGTAAACAACTGCCAATTCATAACAATTGAACTACACAACTTGTGAATTGTAAACAGTTACATAAACAAACTTACCATACAATATCACTTCTAAAAATAACTAAATAAGACACTTGCACTATATAAACTATAATGCTCACATTAAATTCAAACTGAAACAGGTGTGTATATCTAACAATGACTATGACGAAGAATGTCAGTGACTTACGAAGATGGAAAAGATTGAAATAAGGCAAAAAGAGTGTATAAAGCAAAGAAATTAGTAAAGGATAAAAATCAATTAGAAAAAAAAAGACTTAAGAATTAAAATAAATGAAACCTAATTTCAAAGGTAACAGGTTACAAATACATAAACATACATGTCTACTTTGGGATTTAGTATTAGTCATAAAAGTAACTGATTGTATATTGTTGACTTAAAATTAAAAAAAATTCCAACTGAAACTGTTTGGGTAATTTAACAAACAGAAGGTAAAATTCATAATTTCTAAAAGTTAACATTTTCTAATGCTGAAAATGTATTTCCAATAGGTACTTAGCTTCTCTTACCCATAGCTATCTCGACCTTCATTTACCCTCTAGGTATTGGTAAACTTTTTAAAAACACACCAGTCTTTTAATACCCCTATATTTTTGGCATCATTGCAGCAACATGTGCTGATCATGTGACCACTCTCCAACAATCCCATCTGTGCCCTCTATACTAGCACAGGTAGCTTCCTCTACTCTTGCAACACAATCCTCACTTTTGAGAATTGGTATATAGAAGCCCCAAAACACTGGCAAATCAGTGGGGATGAAAGGATGGGAAGTGGGTGAGAAAAGGTAAGTACCTGTCAGAAATACATTTTCAGTGTTAGAAAATGTTAACTTCTGAAATGGTACTACCTCTTCTTCCCCATAGCTAGAATTCCACATTGGAAAGGTGGAGGGGCTGGTGAAGGTGCAAAAACAAATAGTCAATCAGAGAGCGACTGCTATGAAAAATGCAGGTGTGCAACAATTAAAATATGAGGCACACCTGTGGGGTATAGCACTACGTCTGGAACAGGTATGCTTTTCACCTGCTAAAGAAGATAAGACATGTAGGGCGGAAACAAATAGAATACATGGCTAGGGCTAGAGGACTGTATATGAATAGGCCAAGTGGACAGAATAATGAACAGGATAGAGATAGGGGCAGGGTCTGTTGCTCCATGAAGGTCCAGAGCAGAGGGAACTATGTCAGAGCCAGCCAATCCAGACCAATCAACTGAACACAAGAAAGAGGGATCTAGATGAGGAAAAAAAAAAGAGGAGAAGGAGTTTGGATAGACGTTTGTCATATAGGGGTGAGTCCATGAGCCAAGGCATGTGACTGAACAAAAAAGGAGAGTGGAAACATCTAGATGAAAAAATGTCATTGTGGATGACTGAGGAGCAGACATTTCAGAGAAAAAATAAGGTGTGTTGTTCCAGTAGGGGCCAAAGCAGAGCACAACAAGGTTTGGTCTGGATGAGGGAAAAGTCCCAGAAGATGAGTCAAATTGGAGGGTAGGCATATAGATGAAGACTGAAAGCATCTATCTCCACAACTGAATAGTGAGGAACTGAAGACTAAAAGGTAGAAAGCGTGGCATACCAGTGAATGGGAAACACATACAAAAATGCAGCATTCCCTGTGGAGAAGACACTCACAGAAAAAAGTGAGTACGAAGAGACCACTATGTGGAGAACCTGTTAGGGATGTGATAGGAGATCAGCCACAAGAATCAGAACTCGGGAAACATGACCCACCAGAACAGTCAAATCAATGTCATTGACTCAGTAAACAAAATCCAGATTCTGACCAGACAGAGATTGGTACATGGTTCCCCCTATGAAGGTGATAAAGCTGACAATAGTGTAATTTCAGAAAGAGCCAAAACCACCCTCCCCTGCAGGAAAGGATATAGAGCCCAATGAACAGCTAACGTACCAGGATGTGGATATGAAGAGCAGCTTCCTTGATGGACCACTGACCCAAATACTCAGGGGAATCAAGAAAAATTAGATTGTGAGAGAAGTTCTATTGACCGAGAAGTATCTAATGAAGGGAATGCATATGTGTCTGACCCAAGGGAATGGCACTTCCAAGGAAGACCACATCCCAAAAAAGAGAGAACCTCAAATACATAGAGAGGAGGAGAAGGGATGGCAAACTTGAATGTATGCTCAATATCCTGGAGCTAAAGTGGAGAAGGCTGGGCTTGGCCAAAAAAGAAAGTGAAGAGAACCCCCAAATGAATAAGGTACTCTGTAAAGGACTTCTCCAACCAGAAAAGAAACCAACCTGAGAAGCTTCTCGAAGAAAGAAGCGGGTGTGAGTGACTAATTGGGCACAGGAAGAGGTGAGTAGAAGCCTGTTGTCCATAAAATGCAAGTCTGAAGACCCAATGAGTAAAGCTGACATGAAAAAGAGCATGCCACTCCACAAAACACATACAGAGCTGAAGAACGATAGTCTGTGAGCACTGAGAAGGCAAAACTAACCTAGAGGAACTGAAGAAAAGAATGTGACAGTGGGGCAAAAAAAACCCACCAAAGTGAGAGGCAAGACTCCATGGTGAAGTGAGGCAACTGCAGATAAGTATACAGCCAGGACAGATCAAGAAAGGGACTTTAATCTCCAGTGTATAGGGAGACAAAGAAGGATGGGAGTAACCTCCTGGTTGAGTGGGCTCCACACATTAGATAGCTACATTATGTAATAGGACACGAACAGACTGAACAATATGACTGGAAAAGGTATGATCCCAAGGAGGAGGGGGAAGAAATCTGGGAAGGGAGTAGAGGAGCAGCAGAATAGAAGTCAGAAACCCTCATAGAGAACATGAGAACCCTCACATGTACAACATAAAACACATCTATACACAGAATGCCAGTTGACAATCAAGAAAATGAGGATTGTGCCACAAGGATAGAGGGAGCTACCTGCACTAGTATAGATGGGAGAAGAGGTAGTACCATTTCAGAAGTTAACATTTTCTAATACTGAAAATGTAGAGTAGAAGGAGCTACCTGTGCTAGTATAGAGGGCACAAATGGGATTGGTGGAGGGTGGTCACATGGTCAGCACATATTGCTGCAATGATGCAAAAAATATAGGGGCATAAAAGACTGGTGTGCTTTTAAAAAGTTTATCAGTGTCCAGAGGACAAACAAAGATTGAGATAGCTATGGATGCATAGAGGTAGCACCATTTCAAAATTTTAAATTTAAAGAACT